TCTTTGGTTATGTTTTGCTTTATAAATAGCACGGTTTTCTCTAAAAGGTTTTGAGGCTTTGAAAAAACCTTTGTAGTTGTCTCAAATAACTTTCGATGAAGCTTGAACACCAACGCAGATCCTGATAGTGAACACTTTGATCTATCACACCATGTGCTAAGCGCAGTATGGATCTTCAAATGCTTTCTGTACTCGCGTTCAGAAGCATAAATAGTGAAAGAAGAAGTAACAAAATATTAAAAATATAAATTATAATGCATTAATTGTTCAGGCGCTGTAACGCTATATGTGACGGTGGCAATAAGTGTGCTGTGGGAGTTTATGTCCTAAGTGTCAAGTCAGTAACGTATATGACTGATATAGTTGAAGTAATTTTTCCCGGACCAACTTTTCGAGAGGAATCGATTGGCGGTCTCAGAATTTTATGAAAATGTATCCTTTACGAGAAAACTATGTATTTTCGTTTTGGATATTATCTAACTCATTGTAACGCATTAATATCTACGTGTTACACCGAGTCCCATCTTCTTATCTCATTGCAATGAGACAGAAAAAAATAATGTATTGTAATCTACTAGATATTAACTCGTTACAATACGATATGCATTAGCTAATGCGTTATAACGCTATAAAAGATTTTTTCAAATTTATAGCATTATAATTAGATAAAACATGCAAGGTATTATAACTCATTAATTTCTAACATATTATATTGAAATAGAAAACTCAAACGCGTTATAATACATTAGAATCTAACGTATTATAAGGTGGTAGACAAATCTAATTGTGTTGTAACGCTAATTATTATTACTAATTGTGTTGTAAAAATAATTGAAACGCATTATAATACTCTAAATTTATAGAATTGTAATGCAATGATAATTTTTATCCAGTTACAACGCCGTTATCCAGAAACGCGTTATAACACGACGGACTACGTCTATCGCGTTGTAATGAGATAAATCTATACTGTTGTTATACCGTATTTTACGAAAAAGCCTGTCTTATAGTGTTATAACGCTATAAATAGGAAAAAAAGATCCTGTGGGTACGAATATGAGAGTTACTTTTGGTCACAAGGCCGCTTGGATACGCAAAACTTTAAGATACGACTACGATTTCTTTCACATTTTCTAGTTCATCAAACTTTTGAAAATGTTCTGAAACTTTTTTTTCTTTTACGTCCACCTTTATCTTGTGAAGAACTGAACGCTCTTCAGTTTCCTGTTGTAACACTGATTCTAAACGAAAATCTAATTTAGTCTTATGAGTTTTCAAAATTTTTAACATGTAAAACTTTGTTTTCTTTTGTGAGAATGTCGATAATTGTAGCTATCAACGAGAAAGTATATCCTTAGAAGAATGTTTAATTGATAATCAACTGACATGTTCTTCTCTTCAAACGACATATCTAATATTTAGTTCTAAGTTTCTCGATTCTTAGTTGAAACTACAGCATTCTTTTGCTTGTTTTTTTCTGGTACAAAATGATCAACTATCGAATCATTTTTAGCGTTTCTTCAGCTACGATTAAGCGCAATTGTTAAATTTTCTTACTCATTTATAGGAAAATAGATTTTACGGTAAAACTTTTCAGTCTTTATTACATAATCATCTATTACCTATAGTCGCTTTTCCTCTAACATATTCACTATCCGGTATTGTATTATTAACATGTATGTAATACGTGTTTGATATCCAACAATAGTTATTTGTATATTCCGCGTAAGAGCCCTTAAATTGTGCGGGTACCCAACATGTAACACGATTAGACATAAAATGACCTCCTGTTACAATCATACCAAATACCAATATAATACCAACGGTATATCGATGATTCAGCCGATCAACATGTTGATCGTCATTCGGTTTAGACAACGATTGTATCCATGGTAAATCCCGAGCAAAACTAACAACATTCATTATTGTAAAGAATAATCGAAAAACTTAACCGAATCTTGTAGGTAAACTTTCTAAGGTGATGAGAATATTGACATTTGATTGTCTAAAATATCAGAAAATAGAAAATGAATGTTTTTTTAGAAACTAAAGCTGCTTACATCAAGAATTGTTTCTATTACTTGTTTTGAATCAATTTTACTAGTATTTGCCTATTTTTGAAAGAAATTCTCTTGTTATCTGTCTCACCTTGAGTCTTTAAATGTAGTGGTTCTTTATAAAACTTTATTGGTATGTTGAAGTTATTTTTATGATGTGTGTTGCGTTAGTATTTTAACTAAACATTTTTCAAAGGTGTAAAACACGTAATTATTTGTCTATTAACCTACGTATATAGACATACATATATACACTTTATTTCTAACTATTTCATATCAATATGAACTTTTTCTTTATCCTTTACTCTTCTTCTTTCGTCAAAAAAATAAAACCACAAACATAATTTACTTCTACATCAAGGATGACGAAAAAATATGTAACAAAAGGCAATAGAAACGGAAACAAACTTAAAAAAAGAAAATCAGATACTGATGCAAGAGGTCAATAATGATTAGATATGTATGCTAATAAAGGATAAACTAGAATAACAAAATTTTAATATTAGTGACAAATCTTCTATTCCTTTTTGTCGTTTCTTCTTCTCTTTTCTTCAACTTTTGTTTTATATATTAAAAAACAATTCAAATCAAGATCGAATTTAGATTCAAATTACCGATACACTGTATAGTTGTATGCATGTAAATATAGAAAAAAATGTGAAAGAACCACCGAAAATAAACTCAGTCATCATTACATTGGAATAATCTGTATTTAACATTAACTGAAGATGAAGGATTAAAAATAAAATCGAATAGTAAAACTCGGATTACCAGCCATTTTATGAACAATCAAAGAAGCCATTTTCTCAACTATTTTTTATCGGTTTTTTAAATTTTCTAATTATAAATACGAAGGATGTTGTAATGTCGGATCGGCAATTCCCTATCAACTACCCATTGCAGTTTATGAGTACTACGAATCCGTATAAATCTAATGATGGTAAGGACTAGAGAGAACATATTGTACCGAACTCATACATCATCACTCTAAGGACTGAAGAAAATACGCAAGATGGATTTGTGCAAGAGGAAATTTGTGACTACCCTTACGGAACGTCAATCTGATCTATCTAAAACTACTACTATCCATTTCAAAATAGAGTGAACTCGATTGCTTTTTGAATAGCTCAGGAACGTTATTAGCTAGCGAGTTCAAGTTTTCGCCGTTGAAAAAACGTCATCTGGGAGCATCCAGGCATGTAATAATCATTGGGCTTGCCAAGATCTTTAAGGAATTTTCAGAAGAGCTCTGAAAAACTTCCCACGCGCAAAATAGGAATTTTAACTGTGGATATTGTAAATGTTTTCATACAATACGACATTTCGATACATAAAGTTCTGAATGGTTGCGATTTGCCATGCTGTTCTCTACAAAATCGTGCAAGGCCGAGCTTGTTCTGTTCAGGAACTATAAGCATTTTCCCGAGAGCTCCGATTTCGGCCAGTTGATCTTGGATCACCCTAAAAGCGTGCTTTTGGTGCAAATATTCGCTAAAAGTCGACAAAATCGACTATTGGTGAGAGGAATATGCTTCGGAGGGAGGAGGAATATACTATTGATAGTTTGATTAAAGGAGTCCTCATGCTGATTTTCAAAAATAGATGACAAGTCTATCTATTCGCAGTATTGATCACCAGAAAGCCAGAAGAACGGACTTTTAATATAAGTGTTGGAGCAAAATTGAGAAATACCTTATAGGTTGTGCTATATAACACACTGTCGGTGTTACGTAAGGGCTAATACAACATAACCGAAGAGATATCAAGGAAATATACATTTTTACTATGAAAAGCGATGAGCGCTGAGAAGTTTATATATTTAAAATAAATTTTAGTGCTGACAGAGTCACAAAATGATTGATATTCAGCGTAAGATTCAATGACGATGATAAAACACATAAAACGATGGGTTAGAATGGGCGAACTGAAAATGTTAACAGAGCAGAAATGATATTAGGAAATAAGTAGGATGTTGTTCGTTATCAGTTGAGAAACTATTTTGACTGGGGAGCGTAGTGATTCTCGTCTTTCCTAAGTTCAAAGTATGTATTTCTTCTGATACACGATCTTTCGTAAAAAGTTATAGAACGATCGCCGTGATAATTAATTAAAACTAGAGCACTATGGAGTCAAACGAATGGATGCTCGATATTTTATTGGTAATTCCACTATTTTCCATCTGTTTTTAACCGTAAAAATTTGATATCAATAAGGTTGGTAGAGCTCCGTGTTAGTTTTCAAAATATATTCAAATGGAAGTCACGTGATTGACTCTATCTATCCCATGTGGAGTAAAAAAAGTCAACTCACTTTATCGATAGTGTTAAAAGTTCAAATGCATAGATATTTTTCAAATGAATGCTAGTTCATTAAAGATAAGTGCTAATATAATTAGTATGAATTCTACCATTATGTTGCGCTACTCTTCTTCTATTTGATTATATGAAGTTGATATTCATTTCTGTTACATTTATAGCAATGCTAAAATCGCTTTCTGGAAGTCTGCAGAGGTTCTTGTTCGAAAACCGCATGTATTTCAATGAACTGAATCTTTTTACCCTATTAAAGCGGACGAGTAACCCTTTTTATCCCAATAAAAAAATTCAAAAACGACGTAGTTTATTGTGGTCTAATTACCTTAATGAAGGTAGCAGAAATGAACATCAAATTCATATGATCAAATAGAAGAAGAGTAGTGCTACATAATGGTATAATTCATAACTAATTAAGTTAACACTTATCGTCAAGAGTCAATCAAAACCACGTGACTCCATTTGAATATATTTTGAAAACTAACATGGATTTTCAAGAAATTTCCACATAAGCATGTGCATAGTAGTCGGCTCTACCAACCTCTAAAGTTGGTTTGAACATTAGATTGGCCGAAGGCTTTCCCGAGACGTTCTCAAAAACCTCAAGAGCAAAGAATTGTCCTAGGCAACTTTTTCTAGTTGATCCATCATCTACGAGTCGTCTTGAGTATTTTCTGAAATTTTCATTGATTTTGGATTGAAAATCAATGAGTTATGAGTATTTTAATTTTGCCTGCTCACAGACAAAAAAATCAGATTTTCATAAAAATGGCTGGTCTGAACTTCAGTTAATCTTGGGAAGAAAATAAACATTACCACGATCAGCAGCACAGTTAATTGTCTATGAAGCATATCTTCTTAATGTTCCCACGTGTGTCTGTTTGGAAATAGACCTGTCCTCAGGAAATGTTAATAACTCTAGGACCATAGAAGCTGGAGATCTGGGACAGGTGTAGTTTTGTAGCGTCAGATATAGGCTATCAACTGATGATATTCGAATTTAAAATCCATTGTTTCGTGAAGGAACGACGACTTTGTCTTTCAAAGATTGATGTGGCATACCACTTGCAGGTGGTGAACGAACGGGATGAACCTCTTTTTCTGATGCCAAAGGATCTTGGTTTTCGATTAGTGAAAACTGCAGGTCTCTAGCTCTCTCCTGTCAAAAGTTATTAAGAAAACAACCGAGTACGTTGTATTTTGAAACAGATAGTAGCAACCCTATACCACCACCTTGTATCCATATATATATACACATACTACGACTGATGTGATGACGTACACAAGAAAAACTATATTCTGGTAAACTAACATGATCACTAATTTCACCCAACAGATTTACCGCATGATTCTTCCGACAATGTATTTTCACAGTGATTTTCAGCAGATGTACGTTGTTATAATAAAAACTGCAACATTTTCAAGTATTGCTTTAGTTTCAAGTATGTTCGAGTCATTGAGAGAAAACATAGGTCAAATAACGAAAGAAATCCTCCTTGTCAGATAAATGAAAGATACTCTAACGTTTCTTAATGATAATTTTAATTGGTATCAGTTAATTGGTGGACTATATTTCTCATTTAAGTTAGATTCTTCCCTGGTGAACATTCTTTTTCATATGTAAATATGTTTTTATATATGAAGATCTCATATATAATGTAATAATCATATAACAAAAAATTTTAAAATTTGTTTTATATCATTCGTAATAAAAACAATAATACAAAATGAAATGTATAAAAATGAGCGTTGATCACCGTTTCATCTATAGTGAATTGTCATCTACAAACAAAGATAAAGACAGAAACTTTTTAAAAAAATGCAAGATCACCGTTTAATGAGAGTGTGAAATCTACACAAAGACGACACATGTACAATTAATACAAAAAAATACGAATAAATAAACATAAAAATTGAGATATATTTTCACTGCACAAGCATGAACAATTGAAGAAAGAATCTAAACAAAATGAACAGTTATAAAGCAACTTGAAGGACCAAAACACTTGAGTCTAATCTAATGTAAAATTTATATTACTTCGAGATCAGTGTGATGAATATACTAACTTCAAAAAATGGTTGCGACTGTTAGTCCTTAGCTTTGCTATAATCTTGTATTTTCCATATTTTGTTCCATTTCTACTATTCCCAGTTTATTTTCGTCACTTTTTCTATTCTCTTCACCATCGTGTGGATGTTTCCATTGCCAATTAATAAATACTACTACACATGCCATACTCGATATGAGACGTGATACAAAACCGGACAGTGCCATTGACATACCCATTTGACGATTATTATATACCTTGCACACACGTCGATGATAACAATCTCTTTGCCATACTATACAAGATTCATCAAATACAAAACCAAATAGTAATGGACCACTTGTTTGACCTAAAACGCGAACGATGGTTTGACGAAGACCCAAAGCAACGGTCTGATGAACGACTGGAACGGAATAAAGTAAAACACGTAACATTGGTACTTGAATGAAGGCAGTGAAGAAGACAACAACAGCTGCACCAAATAATGTCAATATGAATACAATTTTACCTAAAATGGACAGTAAATTCTTTTTAGTTAAACATAAAGACTTTATTGACTTTCACTTACATGGTATTGCCTTAAATGTACATGCTGATTCACTAAGGGTTACTGTTGAGCTCGCACAGTTACATTGCGTGTAATAAGTGCTTTTATTTTGTGGTGATGAACTTTCTTGTGTGCAGCCGAAATGACATGGTGAGAGAAACATTTGACTTGAATCGGATACTAAACACACAGGATGATACAATCGTTCACAACATTGTTGATTTTGTTGAAGACACGGTGTATGTTGTTGAAACTTGAGTTCAGGACAAGAAAGCATGAGAAAGAGAAATAAGAGTGAAGTGGCTGTGAGAACGATGGCACATGCTCGTGCACAATGCATAGGTGTCCATTTGAAACGATTTATAAAATAAGCACCAGTTGGGCAACCGACAATCACAGATAAAAGAGCGATGGAACCTAAAAATAGAAAAATAAGTATACATTCTCACATCTACTAATATGAAAGCTAAATTTTGATATATATTATTATTTAAGTGTTGCAGAAATCAATTTTCTTTTGTTGAACTCGTGGAAATTGCATTTTGGTACTCGGATGGGTTTTGTAGCAACTACAAGTAGGATCCGATATAATTGCACATATAACGTTAGACTTTGTCAAAGTTTTTTTTGAGAGATAACTGCTCTATTCTCTACTCTACTCGTCTTTAATACAAACACGATAATGTCGGTTTGATTGACTATATGCATATTGAAACTGGCAAATAGATTCCGGATTTTTTAGCACAGAGTTCTTTTCTTTACTATTATCCATTTCAAAAAAGAAAGACCATGGCCATACACTTAGAATAGCGTATTGATGCTGAAAGAGTTCTCAAATATGAGATTCAGCGGGTTTAAACGTCAGAGGGTTTCTGGAAACCTCCTGGAAAACCTTAGCCTGGAAAACTCATAATTTTGCACTTTTACAAGCGCTATCTGATTTATGGTCATTTTTCATATATCTACCGAAAATTTGGTGTGTTTCTGGCTTAAAATGGTTGATATACAGCAACTCTAGTTTTGACAGGCTTCATGCAAAAATCCGTTTTTTCATTCAAAATACCCTGGTGACCTTGGATCAACTTCTAGTCAAAAACAAACATTGCCACGTTGATCAGCACATTCGGTAACCTATGTTTCAAGTCTTTCCGAGATCTTCCGACGTGTCTGGACCCAGTTAGCGTGGTCTCCAAAGAACCTTTCTAGCTCCGGAACCTTGTAGGCTAACGATCTGGGACTGCTCTAGAAACGAATATCTCAGTCCGGGCTACCTGCCTGTCGTCTCAAAAGTTAAAATCCGAAACGTTTTCAGTGGTGTGGCATCTTTCGCAAAATATCTTTGCAGGGTGCACCACCTGCAGGTGGTTTTGAGATAATAATTTTTAGTTTTTCTTATTGCTCCAACATTTTTCTTTCGACTAGTGGAAACCGCAGCTCCGTAGCTACATCCTAGAAAAAGTTATTAAACAAATGGCCATGGTCTTTCTTTTTTGAAATGGATAATAGAACTCTATTATAAAGATATATACCCGTTATTAATGTTGCTGTTGATGTATCAACTTGATGTTGATATTCAAAGTATTTTGTTATAAATGGAACAAAACCTATATGAAAGAGAAAGATGAATAAATTCATTAGTCGAGTAGTCCTGCATTCAGTAATTTATAGCTTGCCTTTGAGTAACATTCCTTCGAATAGATTGGCAATAATAATAAATAAAAATCGAACATTTTTCATTAACTCTCGAAAAACTTGACAGAAGGTTCTTAAATTTTCATTTAACTTTCTCATTTTAATTTGTTGTCTATAACTTCCTCTATCAGTCTTCTTTCTCTTTATGTTTGGTACTGATGTGAATAATTTTGGTTTTGATATAGAATTCGTATTTTTTTCTTCTAATGTGGATAATCGTAATCCTGTTTGATTTTTTTGTGATGATAGTAAAACATCATCATTCGTGGAAATGACATCTGTAGAAACCGATGGTGCTATTAATGTTGTCGTTGTCGATAGATCAGATTCAATTGAATGATTTAAATGACGAACAAATGAAGATGGAGTCGATGTAGTCCGTGGTTGAGTTTGCGGTACTTCATTGTAGAGTGTATCTAAAATTAGAAGAAAAGACGATGTGGTTTTAATGTTGAGTAAAATTGTGCAAATTGATTAGTATATATATATATTCATTTATTTATAGAGGATTGTTAATATCTAAAACTTCTCCTCTCTACACATTTGAATACAAACAACAAATAAAGTAGTACAATAAGCAATGAATGTTAAATGAATCTTTTAGTATCAACTATGTATTGATCGACATGTTTTACGATAAGGACGTTTTGTTTTGCAGTAAGATTAGTTGATCCGTTTAGAATGAGTTCGATGATTTACGGTAATGTGGTAATCGATTTTATATTATTCAACAAGATAGATCTTTCATGAACAAAGCGAATACATTTTAAAAAGTAATATTCAGCTGTTTCAAGCTCAGTATTGCAATGAATACTATTTGGTGATGAAACAAAATGACGTTTATATTGATTTGCAAACGGAAAGCGGAAGCCTAGCCGTATACATCATTCAACTTCCTATATTGTTCCAAACTAATGGTCGAGATGGAAAGTTTAGAAAAACATTTCCGCTTTATAGGAAAGTCCTCAGTATCTGTGATGGATCGCATGTCGCGGGGCAGATTATTGCGATCATCTATAGCGTTCATCAGTACTAACCTATCTACAAAGGATGTGTTAAATTGATTACCTGATGAATAGGCATGATTAATAAATCCATTATTTGTTGTTCCATTAACAAAATCTGAATCGTGATCAGTTGTAATTGGCGTAATGATAGGCGAGTATACATTCGATAATCTGGCCTGTGAATGTCGTTTCCTAACAGATAGATTTTGTAGTCGATATTCTGCGACAATTGTTTCTAATGTCGGTAACATGGCATCATCTCGGAAAACATGATTATGATGAGGATGGAAATGATGCAGAGAAAATGGGTCGACAGTGGTAGCAGAAGGATACAAACCAGTTTGATCCTCGGAAAGAATATCTAGAAAATGGTAAATATCAAATGAACTATTCTTGTTTCATGCATTGCATAATCACTGATGGGTTTAAACTATCTGAGTTATAATTGGTTGGGGTTAATTATCAACCACGGTTGACAGTGTTGATTCATATAACTGCAGTTGAGAGAGTCACAACTCTTAGTTGATAGAATTATAACTATTTCAACTTTAGTTATAACTGTGCCACAGTACAAACTAGAATGAGCTTTTGTAATTTTATTTTGGATTTTATTTTATTTTATTACTAACGTTGATACAGTTATAACTGGAGTTGAAATAGTTATCCCTCTATTCACTTGGAGTTGTGACTCTTTCAATCGGAATTATATCGATCAACTCGAGTTGATAGTTATCCCTAGTGAAACTTCTTGTAATCAAGATCTGACTTCTTGAATTTTTTAAGTAAGATCTTGATTCAAGACCTAGGTAAGAAAATATAAGAATCCAAGAAATTTCAAGAAATCAAGATCTTGAACAGCTCATAAGTTCTTGACTTCTTGTACCAAGATTCTGGTAATTCTTGAATCATCGTTTTACTTTACACTTTTGTATAAATGTAAGTGCGAATATTTTCACACGTAGAATAATTTCGAATTGTTTTCCTTTTTGAACATAGTTATTTAAGGAAGAGCTTATGATTATATATGGCCATATATCTATTGACTATGACTGTCATAAATGAAAACAAAACGTAAAGAAAATTTTCCACCTAAGACCTTGCAACATGTTGAGTTTTCTTCGCTCAATATCTTGAAATTTCTGTTCCCAAGATCTTGGCTAAGATTTCGAGTGGAGTAAGCCAAGATGTTTCAAGATCTTGAGTGAAACTCTAGTCGAGACTCCTGTCATGGGATCCTGCCGCCCAGTCAGTCATAGTCATTCCAGAAAAGCACAGGAAACTCTGTTTACGAAAAATTTTACGCGTTTACCGAGTTTCGAATAATAACGCGCAAGAAGCTCCGAGTGTATAAAAATAAACCGCAGAAACACGCGTGTAAAGCCTTTGTTTCCGCGGCAACATGCGTTTCGGCGATTTATTTTTACACACTCCTTGCGCGTTATTATTCGAAACTCGGTAAACGCGTAAAATTTTCCGTAAACAAAGTGTTCTGCGCTTTCCTGGAATGACTATGACTGACTAGGCGAGATCCTTCGCGAGTTGGGTGGGACTTTCAAGAGACTTCTGATGACTTGGGACTCCTGTGGGACTTTGAGGACTTTCAAGTCTTGCGGAAGTCCAACGAAAGTTCTCAAAGTCCCACTGGAGTCCTCAGAAGCCCCATCTGACTCCCGCAGGATCTCGACGGGACCTAGTGGCAGGGAGTCTTGACTAGGGAAGATTCAAGAATCCTGAAATATCTGGACTTACTCCACTCAAGATCTTGGAAAAAACACCAAGAAGTCAAGATCTTGACTTCTTGGTGTTTTTTCCAAGATCTTGTGACATTTCTTAACCCAAGATCTTTGGTACAAGGAGTTTCACTAGGGATAACTGTGGTTCATAGTTATAACTAGGATTTTAACTATATCAACCTTTTTAGAAATTTTCTCAACTTTTAACTTTCAAAAAACAGTTTTAAACCCATCAATTCATTTATGTATATTTGTTATGCGACAAATCCTTTTAAAATCCTTTTTTTAGCATATATGTCGTATCATCAAATTTAAATTAGAAATCATCACACAATTTGAAGAAAAATTTTTATATTGTTACCTTGTGTGTGTTGCTGTTCGGATAATGTTGGTATTTTATCCACTTCTTCTTGTCTTCCTGGTTTTTCATAATTGGGTAGTCCTGACATGAATAATCCAATGAGGATACATATTGTTCCATAAATAATATAAGGTAACCACCAACATCCAATCCACAATGGATGATGAGGTGTTAACCAGAATGGTAATTTCGAACGAGGTGTTAATTTTGTGTACAATAACAAAAAACGACCGGTGACAACAATGCCTAGTGCACCTCCTACGGTTCCCACGGCAAAATAGATACCTTGACAATAAGCAGCTTTCTAAATATTTTATAAGATAGATTTTTATTTATTATGGAAGAGAAAGGAAATCTTACCTCTTTTGGAAATATACGTTCGATATACGCAATACCAATACTAAATAATGCTACACTACCAATTCCATTAACAAAATTTCCTATGTAAAGTAAAATTTTGGCATTTGATGAGTGTTGTTGTTCTGAGAGAAGTTTTTGTGTACACATTATGTCCGTTATAGTTAAATTGAATGGATCTTTTCGACATTGAAAAAGAACATTGTCAAGTGTCGAATCATCTGAACCCTGCTCTATAAGTTTGTTAAAATTAATATTAGTACCAACAAAATTAGAAATGGCTATTAACCAATTGCCACAACCAACAATTAGCATATTGAGCGAGAAAAAAACAGTTGATGAATAACGGCCACCCAGGTAGCCAACCAGTGGAGCTAGAAGTAATTAAAAATAACATGAAATCAACAGTTTATCAAGATTGAAGTTTGGCACGTCTAATTACATACGAGAAACTGACTAAAAACTGTCGAGTCTTAGATCTGAAAAAGTGTTTGCTAATATAATGAAAATAATATATACCTGAGAAAACTGTTGCTACATCGTACAATGCTAGGAAAAGTCCACTTTGTACTGAATTTAAATAGAAAACATGTTCAATCGTCGATATCACAGCATTATTTGCTCCATTAACAGAGAAATTTTGTACAAATGTACACACACATAACATGATGTAAGCAAATAAATGATTCGATAAAAATCGTGGTGAATGTAACCTTAATGATTTCCATCCATAATAATTATACTTGGCATCTTCATTGTTTATTATGTTTGTTGCAACTGATGGTATTTCGTAGTTGGTCGAATCATCCATTATTTTCTGATTTTTTTCTTTGTCGTCCCAATGTTGATTTTTAAAGATGAATTGATATTGATCATGCTAATTCTAAACAGACGATATTTCAAATGTCACAAGGTTCAAAAATATTGACAAATTAGGTAATAAGTATTTTTTTTTTCTTTATTTTCGGCTTCAACATCTTCCCCGAAGGAATAATCGGATGTAATATAGAATCATGAAAACGACGTTGCTACATAAAATGTTTGTGCTGCTTCTCAGAAAAAACCGCAAATAGCTTCAGACCATTTCCTTTTATTCAAATCAACATCTAACATTTTTTTGAAAACTTCAAAGATGCGAGTATTAATGAGGAATGTGAGTTACCTTGTTCAATATCACCATCTCGGTCGTCCCTCTATCATATATAAGAAAACACGGGAAAGAGAAAGAATCAGTGAGAACAGTACTTATTTTAATATAATCAGTGTATTTTTTAATTGTATACGTTGTCTAATGAAGATCGAAACATTACAAATAAAATTAAAACAAGAGGAGTAAATTGCTTAACAAATTAATTTGTAATGAACTTCCTTAAAAGAAATCAATTAACTTCATGTTTACGGTCGTAGTTTCTCAAAAGAGATACATTATATATTCTCATAAAAGATACAAATCTTGATTTTACAATGTATCTCTTTTAATCAATTAAAAAGCATCTCTTTTGAGAAACGAATATTTTGGCAAGAAATTGTATTTCTCAGAAGAGATACATTATCTCTCATTTCTATATTCCAAATAAATATTTAAATTAAATAAGAGATAGAAGCAAGCAATCAAGATTATCTTAAAAGGTAATTAGTATCGTATTTAAAAAAATTATTTTGCAAAAAGAAGTTAATTCTAATCTTCGCTATCTTCATCCTCATCCGTGCTAATGTCGGAATCATGAGTTTTCTTCAACACTTCCAAATAATTGTATCCAAAATGACGACAAAGTCTTTGATATTCTTCCAAGTCTATTTCGTCACTCAGTAATGTTTGTCTGACAGAAACTAAATGAATATTGTGATCAACATCTTGTTTTTTTCATTTTCTCGTTATCCGGCCTTGTTTATCTTCTTGTTCAACACGTATAGCTGATAGTTCTTCTGCTTTCTGAACATTCATTACCCAGTTCCAAATGTTTGAATGAATGTTTATAGTTTACAAACAGTTGACGTTTACCGATGAGGATGAAGACAGCGAAGATTAAAATTAACTTCTTTTTGCAAAATAATTCTTTTTAAATACGATACTAATTATCTTTTAAGATAATCTTGATTGCTTCTATCTCTTATTTAATTTCATTTTTATTTGGAATATAGAAATGAGAGATAATGTAGTCTATCTCTTTTGAAAAATGAGAGATTCCATATTTATAATTGTATCTCTTTTGAGAAACGCAATTTCTTGCCAAAATATTCGTTTCTCAAAAGAGATACTTTTTAATTGATTAAAAGAGATACATTGTAAAATCTAGATTTATATCTTTTATGAGAATATATAATGTATCTCTTTTGAGACGTAGCCGTTTACGGTAAATAAATGAAGTATCGTTTTGTTTTGTCTGTGAAAAGAACAAAAGTAAAAAGAGCCATGCTTCGACTTTCGATCGAAACATCTCAGAGAAATATTTTCATGTTTTTTCACCAAGCAGATAGGAAGTTTTACATAAGTTTTTCTGTTCTTCAAGATGAGCATAATTTAATCTCTTTCAGATCGTATATAAATGGAGCAAAATGGAATAGAAGTATCGAAAAGTCTTTTAGAAAGATAGTCGTTCAGAATATTAAACAATTTCTTTCATCTCTAATTTTTGTTTCAATAAAATATCGTTTTTCCAAGTCTCAGAAAACGAGTCTAGCATCTTATACCTCTGAACAAATAAAAATAGAACACACACGGTTTTTATCAAGATGTTAGATCCTAAGGCGTATTAGTAAATTTAAAAAACAACTAATGAATATTGCAGTACAGAAAAACGAAAATAAACTTTCAACGCCGCTATATATAGTTTCACTGTCTCTGTCCAATAAAATAGTGAACTCACCTACCTTCGAATAATTCAATAACGAAAAGAGTGAGTAAGTCTACTTGTTTTAGAGAAGATCGAGATATGTAAAATATTTTCTAGGTTATTCAACTTCCTTCTTTCACATGAGAAAGAGAAGTCAGAATATAGTAAATAGTCTGAAATAGAAATATTCTTCCGGTGCAGGTGCTCCAAAGAAATTCGATGTCACGCTCGAATCATTAAACATCAAGGTCTCATTTCATGCCCATTATCGAGAGCACACTTTAGACTATCTATTCACTCTATTGTCACTTTATCCTTCAGTGGATTACACTAATTTCCCAAAACTTTTCTCAAAATCCATTGATGACATACGATTCTGCACAGTGAACTCATGTTTCGATGTTCTCCAAAACAAGGATCCGCGACTAATCAGCTCTTTTCATTATTGAATTATTCGAAGACGATCGAGTCTACTATTTCATTCGCAAACATGTACTTATTCACATTTTGGCACTGGTCCATTTGTATAAAATTTAACATTTATCGCTACTTAAGATAGAACCGCGACTAAGTGAAATACTTTACCAGAGGAAGTGGTGTCTTGTGATACTGTGAGACGTTTTAAAAGAGCTCTTCTAACACATTTACATCTGGAGTTTCGTTGGTTTTATCATATTCCATTGTTCAAAAATCTATTCATCATCCTTTTTGCAATAAGCGTAGAATCGTACTTAGAAGGTTTCTCTTTTTATGATGATTGTGTCATGTTGCTTTTTTATTCTCATTTTTTTCCTTTTTTTATTCTTGTCCTTTTTTTCCTTTTTCTACTTATTCAAGATGGCACGGTTTAAAATTATAAGATTACGCTATTCCTGCTTTTCTGTTTAACAATGTTTTGTTTGTTTGTTTTTTTGTTTGCAAAATAAATAAAAGCTCAAGTTCAAAAGATTCACCTATCTTCGAATAATTCAATAATGAAAAGCTCTGATAAGCCATGGATTTTGCTACTTATTTTAGAGAACGTCGAGACATGAATTCACTGTGCAGAATCGTATGCCGTCAATGGATTTTGAGAGAAGTTTTGGGAAACTAGTGTACTGAAGGATACAGTGACAATAGAGTGAACAGATAGACTAAAGTGTACTCTCGATAATGGGCATGAAGTGAGACCTTGATGTTTAACGATTTGAGCCATCGGATTTCTTTAGGAGCGTTCGCATTCATGACCTTGAATAATCTGAAAATCATACGTAATCGACAACGCTGAATCTGGAGACAATGTTTCTTTCTAGCGAAACTTTGTGAAAACCGAGTTTAACGAAAGTGCAGGTTAATAGGCTATTTCCACCTGAGAGCATTCATTCTAAATGTATCATAAAGTTGTGACATCTTAAGATGTCAAAAAAAATCGTTTTATCTGACAACTGAAAAGACTCGTGAGATTTTGTAAGTTGCACTAATAATAGTTGAGCGGTACTCTGATGTTTAACTAATTCAGTGCTAAGTTTAAGTTCTAATTATATCAATTAACTTTTTTATAATCAGTTTTACGAAAAAATATGTGTTACTTTGAATTATCAGATTGCAATCACACTTTTAAAGATAATAACGATAAAATAAAGAAGGATTGCAGGTCTATCAAATATCGTTGATGAATCTTCAAGTAAAATATTTTTGTCGAATAGAACAAGTAACCTTGGTAAATTTCTTTCTTATTTAAATCAAATAACTAACAACATGCTAAATATTCAACGATTTTAAACATAAAAACGGCATGATAGTTATTAATGATCTATCCATAAATATATATATATTTACGAATATGTAAGTTTACGACACTTCTTTTTGTTTTTATGGGTGAAAAAAACAACGTTTCGTTTTTGTTCTAATATGTCAAAAAGAAAAATTGTCGAATTTACTTTTAAGAGAATAAGAAGTATCCATTCGAAGGTCAACGAAAACTGACATTGAAAAGAACGTTCGCAGAAATAGCGAGTATACAGAGTGGGCAAAAAAAGAAGCTGATCCCCTCTGTATTCATTGGCTTTCTTGTGTACAAATATAATTGAACTTTTACCATTAGTTTAGTTGAGTAGAGCAAAGATTTCTGGACAAAATGAGACGTCTCCAAGCTCTCTAAGAGCTTTTCTCATAAAACAGCATTCAGTTTACAGAAGATCCCATAAACACTAAAATCGAGACAATTAACGGGGAAACAAGAAAAATACGCTCTTAGGGCCTTCCGTAAATTGAATTGCTGTCCCATGAGAAAAGCTCTTAGAGAGCTTGGAGACGTCTCATTTTGTCCAGAAATCTTTACTCTAGTCGACTAAACTAATGGTAAAAAGTTCAATTATATTTGTACACAAGAAAGCCAATAAATACAGAAGGGATCAGCGTTTTTTTGGCCCACTCTGTATATACATAAGATAGTGCGTTGACTAGTCAAAAACTAATCTGCTTATTTTATAGCCTTATTTAATAGAGCATTCAAAGGTCTCCATGACTTTTTAGACTCTAAAACCTCTTCCTGGCAGTAATATGAGTTCTTATCAAAAGGTCCATCAGAGAAGTAAAAAAACGTCAACTAGTTTTCTATTTTCTTATGTCTTTTGTTCTATTGTAATTCAGAATAATTTTGTATTTCAAAATGTTCCACCATATATATGAGTTGATAGAACAAAGAAACTGAATAAAACGTGACATTTCTTCAGTTTTCAAAACTGTAACTAACAACGGAAAAAAATGTTTGCTTACATGTTTTTGACTTTATTCTTTCTCTGTTTTGCTCAAAATACACAGAATGACTTATCTGTAACAGCCATATGTTTTTGTCGTTCTCTTTCCTCTTTTTGCGACATTCGTTCAGATTTGATTGCTAGCCCGATTTTTAAAAATTTTACTGTTTAATCAAAACTGATTATACAAACGTCATTCTAATGTACTTAGATTGAGAATCATTTTTAGTTATGATCAT